TAGCATCTTATGAATTGTTTTCCATGCTCATAAACGTTTAGAATATTCAATAATAATTATCATCATTGTGTGATACCATTTTCTTCTATTTCTCAAATCCATTCTCTTTTGGTAATTTAAAACTCTCAACTAATAATTTTATTCACTATTGAATTCCTATTTGATAAGATTCTCCAACAAAATGTTCACCTTAAACTAGTTCAAGTATATCTAAATTGGTGCTCTGCAAACTGGACATGAGTTGTAACTTTGATAGAAGTATTTACTTCGAACACATGGTTTACAAAACGTATGGCCACATGTTAAAGTAATTGGTTGTAACAATGTTTATAAACATATTGGACAATCGAAAAGTTGTTGCATAATTAATTAATAATGGACACATATTTACACACTATTTAGAGTATATAAATAAAATTCATCCACAATCTTCAAAATCATGAAATATACTCATCTATTAGACTGTTGATTACAAATTCAAACTCGCAATTTACTTCTTCTGCAATTATCAACTCATTCACAGTTAAATCAATCATCATATAATTGAGGATGTACTAAATCCTTTAGGAAATAATAATCTAAGCTATTCACAACTAATAAATGCATCAGGATTTAAACTGTCACTCAGATTAATCATTAGCAAGTTATATTCTAATGAATTATGGAAATGATATTAAAATGGACTTTTATCTATGCAATTCTTATGAGATGATTATAATAGACAATTTCCTACTTTTTCATTTGTTTTAATATACTATTTCTGGTTATTAAATAGATATTAAAAGAATTAATAATATTATTTGTTCAATATCTATTTTTAAAGAAATCTCAATTGTGCAAATTTAGTTATTATTAATTTTAGAAAGCCATCAGATGGAAGTGATATTTAAGATGTTCTGAACTATAAAAGTATACTTTTTCTTGTATATATACTCCCAAAGTTCATTAGTTTTGGAATAGTAAGATAAAAATTAGTAATAATTTTGAGTTATTTAAGTTAATAAATATCTATTTTAATTCTTCTGAGAAATAATTAATTGGCGAAGGCTAACATTACTTATTAAAAGAGATATTAATTTACAACTTTTAAGAATAATTTTATAAATTAGAATTACGAATATCAATTTAGATTATAATTCATAGAAATTTGAAAACAAAACTATTCTTGCAATTGCTCTGCTTATTCTTGCCCAAAATTGAGGGTCTAAACTTAAGATTTACACTAACCAAAAATAACTTGCTTAATAGCTTTTTATCATAATGGATTGACAATAAAGGAAAGAAATTACAAAAATAAATTAAAGAAATTTTATGTGATAGAATTTGATAAATTGAGAGGATTAAGAGTGCTCATTACATATGGTGATGAAATATTGGTAATCTGGTGTTGTAGTCACTTTGTAGGGGGATCATTCGTTTAGATTATTGGATAAAATTGAAATAGCGAAGTTGTTTTATATTTATCGTGAAGGAGTGAGGGATAATTTAATTATTTTATATATATATATATATTTATAATATGTAATCGATTGGAAACCAGATCTTATCAAAATGGTAAAGAAATACTTCTATCATTCTTTAGGTACTCAACAAATTACACTTATAGAGCACTGTTTTAATATGAAGTGAAAGAGGAGGGTTACATTATGGGGTAATTGATAGAGAGGAATGAGGATATTTTGGATGTTGTGGTCCATACGATTCGTTTTACTTACAGATAAGGATTTCAGGCATATCAATGTTAGGACAGTGCATTGACAACAGATTCTGGATGGGGATGTGTAATACGAGTTGGATAAATGATGATGGCAGAACTCTTGAAAAGACATTTAAAGTGTTTCTACAAAGTGGATCTGTTTTCGTTTCCGCCTCTTTTGCAAGATGTTTTGTAGATGTTCAAGGATGATGATGATATGGAAAGTTAAAAAGGGTTTTCGAAGCCATCAAAGTATGGATTTTCGATTTAGAAGATAATGAGAGTAGCATATAAGGAATGGGGAAAGAAACCTGGAGAATGGTATAGTCCAAATCAGATAGTTTAGGCAATCTACAAAATTCTATAAGAGATTAATATTCCATGTAATTTTAAAATTTAAGGGTAAAAGATTGTTATGGTTTGGGTTTTGTGCCATTCTACGAGAGTCAAATAGACCTGAGAGCTATATTTTAAGAGATGTGCATGATGGAGGATTGTGTTTGTCAGAAGAAAGTCTTTTCTATTGAGTAATTTTTGAAATCCTTGGAAAAACTGGAGATTGGCAAGGAGGAAATGGTCTAGGTTATGCATGGGAATGATTCAATTAGTGATGTGTGTTGTGAAGATCAATCAGAATAGAATAAGAAGGAGATTGGAAATCTGCTGAAGAAATACATATGCTAAAAATGTTTTGTCCCTGTCAGAGCAGTGGCAGTATGTTTATTAAGCAGAATCGGATGTGATGAACCCAATCCAGATTACTTATAAGCCATAAGACAATTTATGAAGAAGAAATATTTTGCTGGGATGTTGGGAGGTAGACCTAAAGAAGCGAATTTCATTGTTGGTTTTGTCGATAATAAATTTGTCGTTTTGGATCCTCATTTAGTATAAGAAGCCAAGATGAATCCAGAAGAATATATTAAATCATGTTTTCCAGGTGAAGCTCTCTTTATGAGTGATAAAGAAATTGATTGTTCTCTAGGATTAGTGTTCTATTTGAAAAATTTGGATGATCTGATTGAATTGATCTATGATATCTAGGCTCATTAACAGATTAATTTCTTTTCGTTTGCTCACATTCAACATTGGAAATACACTGAGACTAAAAAGGAGGATCAAATTAGAAGGATTAGAGAAATGCATGAATTCCTTAATGAATTTTTGGTTCCATAATAATAATAATAAATATTGAATTTAGAGATTTCCACTTATCAAGAAGCATATTCTAATGATAGTGCATCTTTTGATCAACAACCAATCTTGAAAGAAATAGACTCCAGTTATGAAGAAATCTGAACATTTAATTATTTTACTATTCAAAATTCAAATTTAATATATAAATACCTCAGAATCTTTACTTATTCATATCTTTGGAATAGCACTACAACTCTCTTTTATATTCATTGACAAAATTATCTAAAAAAATGGATAAATTCTAATTCTCAATTTTTTATATTAAAATAACAGATACAAATTACTGGAATAAAGAACATTAAATATTATCCATATGTGTATTTTATAATAAGTTTAAAAGAACCCACAGAATTAATATTTATGGATAATTCTATTATTTAATCGAATTATTATTTTGTTTATAATTATTATGTTTTTCCTTTTAACTTAGACTTTATTGAAGTTCTTAAAAAAATAGCCTGATCTCACAAGAATTTACTTTTGAATCTTATTATTCAAAGTTGATTAGAATGTAAATCAATTGTTGATTTCGAATGATTCCTTAATTAACCTAAAAATCTCCATTAAATAGGGTTATCCCATCACATCATTAAAATAATATTTATATAACATTTTACATATATTTATTATCATAGAGTTGCTTCATCATAGTGTCTTCATAAATGCGTTTTTAAATTATAAATATAAATAAATGAAATATTATAAGCAAGGACAATTACTTTGTTACATTGGAACATGGATGCCTTTTGTTATATTGGTCACGATATTTCTATTCTTCTATGGAGTGTATATGTAGGTATATGACACCTATTAATGTTCAAGACCTACTTGTTGCCCCGAATAAGATCGGAGTACATTGAAAAACCAGTCATAGAAATAAACACTTACTTGATTCAATTAGTACACATCAATGACTATGTCTTCAGCAATTCAACTGTAGTAATTACAGTATTATTGCATACAATACTTGTTCTATTTTTAATTACATTAATAAGAGTAGTAACAACATTGCCTGGGAAAGTGCCTAAGGAATGGCTGAACAGAGTGGAGGGAGAGATCAACAAGATGATAGAGAATGAGGAGAATATGATCAATTTTCACAAGAAGGGATCACAAACATCAACATCCTTCTCTTCAGAAATAGATGATGAACAACGATTGCAATTAAATTCTAAAGCAAGGTTGGAATTGATAGATAAGTCTGGTCATCGGTTTTGTAAGAACTGTTAGGCATTTAAACCAAAACGTTGCCATCATTGCCGTTAATGTAAGACATGCTGGTTGAAAATGGATCATCATTGTCAATGGCTCAACAATTGCATAGGTTACAACAATTATAAAATGTTCATCAATTTACTCGGTTATTCATGTATAAGATTAATTATATCTAGGGTTGCTAATAAGTTTTATAATGATAACTTATAGTCGTTGCTATTATGATACCCTTAATTCATATTCATCTGATAGTAAACTATTCCTGGTTTCTTTCACTTTTCTGTATTGTAGTTTTTTGTGGATACTCTTAACAGCCTTCACATTATTCCATTTATGGTACTCTAATTCATTATAATGAGATAAATAGGGCTATCAAATCTAACATCACAACCCTTGAATATTGCGAAAATAAACCCAGACTACCAGTTCAGAAGAGTGCTTTAGAGAATATTGTCGAAGTGTTCGGCATCAATCCTCTAATTTGGTTCTTACCCATTTAACCAAATACGAAACCAATATTGGATTGAAAAAAAGATAAATAAATTTACATAATCATATAATTATATTTTTATATAATGGAAAAAATAGATATGTTAGTTAAAGTAGTAATCATTGGAGATACAACGGTGGGAAAGACAAACATAATGACACAGTATTGTGATACCAATTTTAAAATGAACTCTCTTCCCACAATTGGAGCTGATTCAAGGGTAAAGATGATATAGATGAATGAAAGAGAAACTATAAAGATGATGATTTGGGATACATGCGGTCAAGAACGATTCAAATCCATCACAAAAAATACATTTAAAGGAGCATAGGGTTTTGTGTTGGTGTATGATATCACATCAAAAAGCACTTTTGAACATGTGGAAGATTGGCTAGAAGTAAAACTTAAGTTAATCCAAGTCAATCAATGATAACATTGATACAAATACAGTTTCGATTGTTTTAGTTGGAAATAAGTCTGATCTGGATGAATTGAGATAGATTTCTAGAGATCAAGGACAGGCTTTGGCCAACAAACATAATCTCAACTTTTTTGAGACTTCAGCCAAGTTGGGAATTAATTTAAGTGAGGTTTTCGTTTCACTTGCTAGAAATATCAGGAAAATCATAAACTCAGCAAACAAAGACACTGAGATGCTCACTACAGACAAAACTAAGAGTAAAAAGAAGAAAGGTGCTGTTGATATTCCATATACT